GTGCTGCTTCCAGGCAGCGTTCAGCCACAGTTTAGTAGGCGATGACAGCAATTCCTTTCTTAAAAAAAAACCAAAACCTTATTACAGCTATGTGGACAAATACTTTAAAAACCGCTTGAGCCTGTGACTTTAGTCACAGAGCGTTTCAGGCTAAGAGGTGGGTTGAAAACCCGTGTGTGTGCGTAACTCCAGCACAGCCCCGCTGAGAAGGGCCTGGCCGTGGGACAGGTTAACGGCAATGGCACTACAGGCTTATTCTTGGTTTGATTTCTACGATTTTCTAAGTCACTAACTCTCAAAACAACCCAGCCCACCGACAGCAGCAGCCAGCCCTGCAGGCAGCCACCGTTGGCAGGTTTCCCCTGGGAGCGCTCGCTGGCGTGGGGACAACGCGGGCAACGTCCGCGGCCGTGGGGCAGCAAACGCCCGTCCGTGTTTATCTGAGGTTGGCCGATCGCCGCTGCACAGCTGGCTTAACCCCCCGTCCTGCTGTCCTGCCGGAAAGAGCTGATAGCTCGCGCGCGGTTTATCTCCCCTTCCCACCTCCCTGCCTGCGCCCTCCCTCCCTTTCCTCGCCAGGAAAGCTCTCCTTCCCACCTCCCCCCGCCGCTTAGTCCTTCCTTACACGAAAACAGCCTTCGCAGTCACGTTGGCTTGGCCGACAGCACGCTGTTTTGCTCAGGAAGCAAATAGTCAAGGTGAGGGTTTAAAATCGCTCCCTGAACATATGTTTTCAATGACAAGGGCCGGGCGACGCAGAACGGCTGGGCTGGGAGGGGGCAGGAGCTGCCCGTCGTGGGGACGGGAAGGCGTCTGGGGCAGCGGGGAAACACTTCTGCGCTGCGACGTGCTCCACGGTGGTGGCCCCAGAGCCGTTCCTGGTGGCCCTGCAGTGGCCAGGCAACCAACGCTGGAGAAGATCTTCCAGCCTGGCCCACCGGTTGAACGCCTCGGCCCGGGCAATGAGGCTGGAGGAGAGCGCCCGCGAGGTCCTCTCCACAGCTGCGGTCTCCCAGCTGCTTTGCCACCGACAGGCAAGTGTCCATAGAAGCCAGCAAACATCTCCACCTTTTTTTTTTTTAACGTAATTTTTGAAAGTCCTTCCCACTCTTGTCTTCAGGCTGAAAATTTAATTCGTTTTTCAGCAAGCTACTTATATTGGCTTTTTTTACAATGGTTTTGCTTTGCAGAACACCGCTGGGCCTCCACGCTTGGTGTTCTCCCACTAAGTGCGTTAGTTTGGTGTTTGAACTGCACCATTCTGTGGATTCCAATATATGGGAAAAAAAAAACTATTTTTGTTTTGACGTTTACACAAAACACATGAGAAAGCAAGAAACAATACTTAGGGTCCCAGTTTTAACTGCAAAGAAATAACCCAGTGCATCCCCCAGGGCAGAGGGGATGGACATACGCAGAGGTTCGCAGGTAACATTGCCCTTGGGTGCCTCTCCGGGGCAGGAAGGGGCCTGCCAGGGAGGGAGGGGCTCATCTCACCCCATTTTTGGTGTTGGAGGAACCGAACCAGTTGCACGCGCTGTTCTTAAAGGCGACGGGGATTCTGGCCTCTCTCATACTGCGGGAATTTTTCTGGCAAATAGCAGTTTCCTCAAAAACCTGCAGTAAGTGCATTTAAAGGTATTCCGTTTGCCCACATTTCTAACACGCAGTGTCCTAGCAGCACAGGGACAGAATTTAAGCTCTGGGTTACAGAAAATCCCCCTTAACATTGCAGAAAGGAAAACAGTCATATCCTGCCGCAGAGCCCATCATTTTGTGAAATTCTCCTAGAGTATCGTGTTTTCACGGGGTGGTTGTGGTATGGATGAAATCGGACAGCGAGAGAGGAAGGGAAGTGGCATTTAGATAAAAATGAATTAAAAAAAAAAAGAAGAGAGGGTGGGAGGGACATGTAACTCGGAGACAATGAAACGAGAAATGCAAAAAGAAAGTCACCCCAAATTTGGGCAGTTTTTATTTTCAAGCCTCATTATCTGGTTCTAATTACAGCGTCTCTGAAAGAATCATGTTATAGGGCAATCTGAGCTGACGCTCCATGCTTCCAAAAAAAAGAAGAAAAAGAACAAGTACCTGCTTTTTTGGTGGGGATTCCCACATTATTTAATTAAAATATGCTCGTTGAACATACAGGACCCAAACATTCCCACCCTCGCAAATGATGAGAAAGCTTCACCTCTTCATCATGATGGCCCATGAACAACGGGAGCAAGCAATTTACTGCTAGCTGGAGCTATTCAATATGTTTCTCTCCCCTGTGGCCGGCAGCGCTCGGCGAGTTATCATCGGCCCTGGCCGATATTCCCACTGCCGGAGAAAGGCTGCAGCCGGCGCACGGGGCCCGGGGGAGAGCGGGGTCAGATGTGGCAGCAGATGAGCCCCGGCCACGCATGGAGCCGGGTCCCGTCCGTCCGTGCCCAGGCGCGGAGGCATTTCTAACCCACGCAGGTGGGCAGGGACAAAGTGAAAAAAAGGAGACATCAGGAAGAGAAAAAGGAGAACTTTTCTTGCTGATTCTTGTTTTTCTGAGAGGTTGTGCAGTGAATAGGATGCTTGAAGGCATCTGCAGGGCAGCGGCTCCGGCTGAAGCTGGGGAGGCCCCGGGCTGACGGCGAAGACGAGAAGATGCTCAGAGACGAGAGAGGGGCTGCGGGCTCAGGACCGGGGGGGACCCACGGGCAAAGCCAGGTTTTGCGGCGGGGGCCGCCGGCGGCCGGCACCGC